TCCTTTGCGCCAGTTACTACTCGAAGAATACCACGACGTCCTCTACGCCGGACACTTCGGTAGCAACAAGACGCTGACCGGTATCGCGAAGCACTACTACTGGCCCCACTTGGCAGACGATGTTCAGAAATTCGTCACCTCGTGTGATACATGTCAACGGATGAAGAGCAGCAAGCAGAAGAAAGCAGGTCTGCTACAGCCTCTTCCTGTCCCAGAACAGCCATGGCAAGTGGTTAGCCTGGATTTCATCACCGGGTTACCACCTACCACTAGCGGTCATGACGCAATTCTTGTCGTCATCGACAAATTCTCCAAGATGGGACACTTCATCCCGACACACACAATGGCACGCACCGAGGAGACAGCACAACTCTTCGTTCGCTACATCATCTCACAGCATGGCATTCCAACTACACTCATCTCCGACCGAGACCCCAAGTTCACCAGCAAGTTCTGGAAGGAACTCATGTCTCTGCTCGGCACCAAACTCGCCATGTCATCCGCCTACCATCTGCAGACAGACGGACAGACCGAGCGCCTTAACCAGATTGTTGAGCAACTCCTCCGAGCAGCCTGCAAGGACGAGATCTCCAAATGGGACTTGCAACTGCCCGTCCTAGAGTTTGCCTACAACAACACTACACACGCCGCTAGGGGACAGACGCCGTTCTTCCTCTGCTACGGACGCCACCCACTCACACCACAGAAACCGACAACACCAGCAACAGTCCAAACTGCACACGACTTCATCACAACCATTCATCAACTTTGGGATCGGACCCATAAGCGCCTCCTTGACATTCAACAGCAACAGAAGCGCCAAGCCGATCGCCATCGCAACGACCACACCATTTCCGTGGGAGACCAGGTGCTCCTTGACACCCGCAACCTGGACATCAGCCACCTCCCATCCAAACTTCGACCTCGCTTCTGCGGGCCTTTCCTCGTTGAAGCACAGGTCACCCCGGTTACCTGCCGCTTACGCCTGCCAGCTACTTGGAAGATTCACAACGCCTTCCATGTCCAACTTCTGAAGCCCTATCGGGATCCTAACACGATCTTCGTCGGACGCCAACCGCCGCCGCCGCCGCCTGTCCTCGTCCAGAATGAACCCGAGTACGAGGTCGAGTCCGTGCTTGCACACCGCCGTCGTCGGAATGGCACCATGGAGCTTCTTATTCGTTGGAAGGGTTATGATCCTTCTGAGGACAGCTGGGTCTCTGAAACCGACATGGGTAACGCCCGTCGTCCTCTGCATGACTACCTTGTCAAGTAGGGTGTTACTTCTACCACCCAGCTTTGAGGGGGGGAAGTGTGAGAGTACGACCCCATTACACCACTTGTCCTATTCTTATCTCCTTCCTATTTCATTCTTCTTTTTATCTCATCTCATTTGGTTTCCTACTTTCCATTATCCTTTGGTTGATCCTGCTATTATAATTATATCACCGACCAGGCTTGGGATGTACTGGCACATTATCCAGCGTAATCCTGCCGTAATCCCTTAAAGCCAATAGCCTCGCGTGGCTATACGCAGGGTGATTCTATATTCTAGAAGGGTATATTCCTTTGGATAGGATAAACCTGGTTACCTGATGTACTATGGAAGTATAAAAGCGCCTTGTACTGATCGATAGTTCAATCGATCCTCGAGTCATTCGATCCTGTGACAGCTGCTTTGCGGAAACGATTGGTTGGTCCAGCTGATGGAATCGCGGGACTCTTCGGGGATTAGAATCGTTACGGCCGCTCACACTTCCTTTTCGAGAAAAAGTGCACTTGCACAATGGGGGGCGGAAGTCGACTAGCAGCGCTGTCGTTCGCTCTCTTGGTTCCACTCATTTACGCATTCGCGCCACGCCATGTCACCGACGCTCCCACGCCCAATCCCTCGCAGTTCGAGATCTCCATGCGAAAGACGCTGGAGATGCCCGAAGAGCAGAGGTGGCAGCACGCGGAGAGCATTCTGGAAGCCGCTGGCAACGCGGAACGCGAATCCAAAGGTGCCGGTGGCGAGCGCGGCGGCCGGCGGCTAGTCGACACGGGAGTGAAGCTGGGTCTGGCGGTGTCGCCGCTGAGCTCGGGGGCGAGCATGGCGGTGGTGAACATGTCGTTCTACCGCTGCATCCCAAAAAGCTGCTGCTGTTCCAGGTTCTCCCTACACACTCCAGAGACTATCGCAACACTGCGGGGAGGGTGTATCCATTTACAGACTACCAATATTTGTTCATTCAGCAGGTCCACACCGCTGCTGGAAATGGGTTACAGACACTGCGGCTACACCCTCCCCACAACCTACTGCCACGTTGTAGCCACTCCATAGGCACAACCTCCCCACTCCCTCCGCAGCGAGACTGTACCCAACTCTCGTCCACGAAGCGTCAAGACAGCTGCCACGTAGGATCTCGAGACTGAATCCCCATAAACTGTGGAGAACATCTAGCGCAAATCCACGATACAGTGCAGCCCATTTCTATTCAATATTACCGTGGTACACTTATCATTAATAAAATACGTCATTCATTTATGATCCCCAGATACAATTACATTTCAACATAACCGGTGCAAAAAGCACCGTGTAATCGTCGAGCATATCAAGCTGAAAACACCAGCAACAAAACAAAGACAACATCGGTCCCAATCAAATAAAAAATCGCTGCTGCCCAGAACCGCCAGTCATGCTGCCACGGGCGAACATTGCAAGCAACAGAGGGGTGTCAATATGAACACCCCTGGTCAGCGCTATTCTATAAAAATAGAAACAGGGAGAACAAGACATATAGAAGAGAATGAACTTGGAAAGCAAAAGGCAGCGTACCCCAACAAGGAAACTGGCAAGGAGGGAGTTCCCCAAACAGCAAAAACCAAGAGGAAGGGAGGTGGGCATGAGCAGGGCGCATACCATTCGTCAGCGCATCTGCATGTGATCTACTGCTCGGCCAACGACTCCAAGAAACTGATCAGTGCTTGGGGGCGAACAGGTGTTCGTCATCTGTACGCAAGGCAAAGACGAAACAGAAGGCACAAACGTAGGCGAAATCGAAGGCGATTAGGGAACGGGCAACAGAATGCGGAATCGAAGGAAAATTCAATGGCGGAAACGTAGACAGAATGAATGGCGTTTGCGACGACGAGACAAAACGGTTGAGAGAAAGTGAGATATCAGATCACTAAGCTAAAGCAGTAAGGATACCAACAGATCTGACGAGAATCCAGAAAACAGAAACATACGAAACCTGACAAGTGCAGAGAACGATGACAGTGACGGTCGAATCGACCCCAACACCTGTACCATCCTGGCCAAAGGCAAACATCAAGCGGAAGATGAAACAACAAAACGGAGACTGAATAACTGAAAGGGAGAATAACGCAAACCAAGGGACGCTGACGATGGAACATGAAGGAAGGAAAGGAGCTAAAAAGGAAGAATATATGAAACGACATAAAGCCGAAGAAAAGATTCAGCAGTCAAAAAGGCAGGCAGATAGGACCAAGAAACGAGCCGTGACCAAGGTATCGAGCCGCGCTAGGGACCAAGAAACGAGGCGGGAAGTAGGACTAGAAAGCAAATCTTGAAGCCCTCGTGCTGAAAGCTGAACGATAAACATTCAAACATTTAGTCATGTCGATTGTAGCACAAGCGATTGGATAACCTTACGCATCTGGAAAGTCTGCCGGTCGATGCGTGAAACCTCCGTCCATGTTTTGCAAAATATTTGTCGGCGTCAACTTAGGGAGTGATCGATGTCGACTTTCATCTGGGAGTCAGCTTTCGACACTTGGTAAAATTGAGAGGCAGGCTCGGCAATTGCCGTCTTAGAAGCTCGACGTTTCCCGACACGCACGTTTGTAAGAATAAGAACGCACCCTGAGTAGTAGCATCTCATAAAGATACTTATCATGTAATATAGGATAGATTGCTACATGGTATCCTGTTGCCACTTTTTTATTGAAAATTAGGTTTTGAAAAAGTGAATTTTTCGGAACACCTATTTGCGTCACTTGATAAACATGCACAATGTTTGGTTACGGTTAACTGTTGTGGCAATTGTGTCTCATGCTTTTGTAACACTCAGGGTTACTCTTTGAAACTATCAATTGTCGCGTTTTCCGTCTTGTTCGCTATTAGCCGGTTTTGCCACTGTGTTGTCATCATCACTCTGCCCAGTGGGGTGGGATCCGTTGTCAGCGTTGGTCGCATGGCTCCAATTTCCTGCTGTCTGTTTTGTCCGTGTGTTTCGGGGGCTGAACGGTTCTTTTGTCGCTTGCGCACTGTGCTGCAGTTTGTTTACATTGTAGGCGCTTCGTCTCTTCTGTGTTTGACGCCACGGCGATGCCACAGGATGGCAAGGCTCTCCCGAGGCTGCCGTAGGTTTGTTAGGGTGGTCTGGGTATACACGCTCGCGATACTCCACCCCCGCATGTACTGTAGGTACACCCTCGGCAAACAGATGGAGTACCTACAGTGTGGCTAGTCCCAGGCCACTCTGTGGGTCGGTACTGTTTCCCGAGAAGGTTGGCGCGTACGCGAAGGGGGCATTTGCAATTTTTGGGATGTGGGAAAGCGGCGCACCGCCGCCCGTCGTCGCCTGGCGCAAGACCCTCGCCATCACGCCCATCCAGACGCAATACGTGGTGCGATTTCCGCTTCTGAATGGCCCATCACCGGGTGCAATTAGGCTGTTTTGCTGGGCTCCCCCAGTTTTTGAGTCGTCGTCGGAGCTACATTTTTTGTCAGACTCAGACCTGGTCAGCCACCAGGCCCACCAATTTTGTACCGAACCCCGTTCGCAGTGCTCAAGCTGCTGACCCTTCGTCGAATGTCGGGCACGGTTATTTGTGTAAGGTTTTCCTTGCATGCTACTCACGGTGCCACTCCTACTCTCCCCCACTTTCTTTTTCACTGTTTGAGCTGCTGGGCGATCGCAGCCGTCGATTCCATCTCTATGATGTGGGCGATCGCCAACAACGGCATCGGAATGAATCTGTCGCCGCAGCAGGTGTGCGACTGTGCGACGAAGCAGTGCTGCCAGGGCGGCTGGCCCGAGTGGGCCTTCTCCTACGTGCTCTATAACGACAGAGTCACGTCCAACAAAAACTATTCGTACCTGGCGTACGATTCCGCCGCGTGTCTCTTGGACACATCAATGCCATCCATGGCGCAGATCACGGGGTGGGAGCTGGTGCCGGCAAACAACCGCTTGGCGCTCATGAAGGCCGTCAGCATGCAACCCGTCGTCGCCTTCATCAACGCCGCCACCTCTGGCGACTTCCTGGTACGCGGCATTGCGCTTGATCCCATAACGGTACTAGGCTAGTACGGACGGTCCTACACGGCAGGAGACATATTATTGCGGTTTCCACCTTCTTTCCGCCGCTCACTACTCGCTGGTAATCTTGGCAAGATTTCCTTTTCCCCAGCTTGGACTATAAGCCTGATGAGGCTTTGCGCGAGGAGTATAAGTCTGATGAGGCTTTGCGCTCACTTTTGACAGTGCCACCTCCTGCCATCTTTCGTCGTTTGTCCACCAGGCCTACAAGAGCCGCGACGCGCTCAACATCTACGACGGCGGGTGCTTGACGAAGATCAACCACGCGGTGGTGGTCGTCGGATACAACTACATGGGGCCGGATCTCAAGGAAAGCTATTGGATAATGAAGAACTCGTGGTACGCCACGTGGGGCGACCGCGGCTACATGTACCTCGTAATGATACCCGACGTGCGCGGGAAATGCGGCCTCCTCTCGTAAGTGCGACGCTGCGTTTCTCGAGGCGAAGGTCGACTCAAGTCTGTCGTCGCGCGGCGAAACCATTTTGTCGACGCTCGTCGACGTCGTTTGTCAAGGGAAAATCTGTCAGGTCCTTACTCTTCCCCTCGTCGGTTGCGACTTCCTTTCCGCCCTACCCTCGTCCCTGCCGCTCACCTGCCCCTGCTTCCCGCGTTTCTCCGCAGAACCCCCGCCATGTATCCGGTCTACTTCCCATCGGGGCAGCAGCCGGCGCGCTTCTCGTCCGACAAGCGCGGCAAGTGGAACATCAACAAAGTGGACGACCTCTCGTCGTCGCTCTTCGCCTCCACCCTCTCCACCTCCGATACCTCTCTGAGCGGTTCGACGACCACGACCAGCACCAGGACCACGACCACCACCAGCAGTGCGACGATTGTGTCTTTCACAGATTCGACATTCTCCGATTTGTCCTCGTTGTTGATTGGTTCCTCCACTTCTAGTACCGCGTGTGCAGGGATGATCAACCCCTACCGGGGGGGGGGGATTGCTACATGAGCAGCGGAATCCCGCAGTGCAACTGCAGCGCGCTCACGAATATGGTTGAGATGCTCGGAGCACCCACGTCAAAATGCGTGCCGCGATATCCGTGCGGGGCAGCCCTCGTCAATCCCTGCGCTGGCGGGACATGCACAGATGTTGACGACGGGACGTACACTTGCGCGTGCACATCAGGTTATGCCATCGGCGCTGCCGTTGACGGTTCGCCGACTTGCGTGCCTGCGGCTGGCCTCACAAAGTCTTATGTGACCCTGCCTGGCGACAACTGCACGACGGTCGCGATTGCTCTTAGCATTTTGATCTCTACCCTAACCGCTCTTAACACCTTTATTAACTGCTCCGTTACTGAATACCTCCCTCCTGGAATTGCACTTACCATCTCCGTAGTGACGACTTCAATATCTTCGTATTGCACCAGGTCATACACCGTCCGACCTCCTGACACCTGCACTTCTATAGCAAATTTTTTTTCGTCGGATCTCTCACTTCCCTCATGGCAAACAACCCTGGATTGTCGTGCAAGCGCTTGTTCAAGTTGCAACAGATATGCCTCCAGATGGTTACTGCATCGTCTACCTCGTCTACTTTGCAATGTGGGCAAAGCGCTCTTGTGGTCACTGGAGACACTTGCACTTCTATCGCCGTTAAATATAACGTGGACCCGGCATTATTTAAGTCGTGAGTATTCCGAACCAATCCTTTCTGTTCGATTGCCTGGTTTTTCTTAGGAGCGAGTCCCCCCTTCTCTCCCTCGTGTATGCCTCTGGTCTGCATTCAAAACTGTCTTGTTCCCCTGATTTCAACCCCTCGCCTTTGCCCTGCCTCTTCCGTGTTCATTAAGTGTGCCTTGTATCTCCTGTCTTTATTGTCACTCATCCAAACTCTCATGCTTGCTCCTCTGCAGGCTCAACCCAGGTATCGACTATGACAGCAATCTTGCAGTGGGTTCCTATGTTTGTGTGACGCCTAAATCACCCATGGTAAGCACCTAGACATATTTTCCCTTTTTTTTTATGACATTTGAGTACCTCCTTCCTAGGCATGAACATGGCGCCCGCAGGCCGGCAGCCCGGTTTTGGCCGGGCACGGGCCACCCATTTTTTAGACTCGGCCCGACCTTTGGCGGCCCAGCCCGGTCCGGCCCGCCCCCAGCCCGCCCATGGCCCGCCTTGGCCCGCCCCCGGCCCCTTTTTTGCCCCTGGCGGACCCTGGCCCGCCCCCGGGCCAAGGCCGGCCCAACCCCTAAACACAGGCACGGGCCGGGAAGTTCCCAAGGTCCGCTCGACCCCTAGACATGGGCACGGGCCAGGAAGTTCCCAAGGTCAGCCCGACCTCGGCCCGGCCCGGCCCGGCCCGAGGTCCGGCGGCCCGACCAGAAATGGGCCGGGCCTGGCCAGGCCGGGCCAATGCTCTCCACTTGTTTCCGGCATCGTTGACTTGCTTCACCATTACATGCAATTTCGTCTCCCCTCCTCTCCCATTCGTTCTCTTGTTTCCCCTCCCCCTGCCTCCCCCCAGACGACCATCAACTGGACTGGGTGGTACCGTGCGATGCAGGGCGACACATGCCCGTCCATCTGGAATGCAGCCAACGTCACCATGCCCATGTTCCTCGCCATCAACCCCGGCATCCAGGTGAATGCCTCCTCCCCCCCTGCCAAGCCATCAACCCCGGCATCCAGGTAAGCACATGGCACCACCTCCCCATACCACCCCGCATATCATCTACCCATATCACCGCCATGTCCATGTTCCTCGCCATCAACCCCGGCATCCAGGTAAGCATTGGAGCGTCACACATGTCTCACATGCTGCACACACACCTCACACATGCCTGACAAACCACCATGTCCTGATATACCACAGGCCTGATATACCACCAACTTGTACTTCTCGCGTTATGTTATTCTATATATGCTATCCCTCTCTGTGCCAGGCTCCATACCTCTTCTATCTATTCTATACCCCCGCACCTCCCTCCCCCTACAGTGCCAGGTGCCCTACCTTGCCATCGGCCAGCAGGTCTGCATCGACTCGCCCATCCTTGCCACCATGCAGGGAGCTCCCAGCATCTCCTACACCATCCACACCGTGCATCCCAACGCAACTACCCTCTACCTTATCTCCTCCGCTTACCAGTCCCGCTGCACTCCTGCGTCTGTTTCCGCTGCATCCATCGGCGCCCGGAACTTCATCGCCAATCTGACCGCCCCTCTGGTGGTCGGCACACAACTGATCATCCCCTGTATTGGACGCATCGGCATCGTGGATTGTGGATGTGCAACTTCACTGTATGAGTGTGGAGCTGACAGGGTCCTGTACCTGTCATTCTGTCATGCAGTCTGCAACTACGCTATTCCAGTTGCCGAACAATTCTTCACCGACTGTACCAGTAATTGTGGAACTGCGTGCCAAGGCCGGATGGGCTTAGCTCCATTGAGTGGCTACAGCTGCACGCAAGCCGTCTGCCCGTATGTCCGATGGCCACTGAAGGACAACGGCTGCTCCCAGATTGTGGGTAATGTCACATATCCCTGCTGCGACTACAAAACTTCTCAGTGCGAGCAGCAGTGCGCGCTAACTGCTGCTACACTTGGGAGAACTTCCACTCAGAGGACCGGCAACTACAACATGTGCATGAGCATGTGCGACTGCTGTTATTTCTCTCCCTGTGCCGGGACAACCTGCAAGGCTACGTCATCCTGCTGGAATGAAAGCCCGCGGAGGTGCACCTACAGTTTGTCAACTCGGTATTTGTGGAAATGCACTGCCATTCTCGCTAATCCCGGGTACTTTCCATCTTAGCTGGGTAGGTTGCTCTGATTAGCCTCATTCCCTGGGTAGCTTTTGTGGTGCATTCCCCTGGACATCCCAGGGACATGTAGGGGCCAGAGTCTGCTGCCTTGCGACGAGTTACAACTAGTGTGACAGTGTAACCACTTGGTTGGTACCGTATTCTCCCGGATATAGTGTTAGAAAACTAACTTTGCTAGGAAGGAAGGCGGCCATGAAATGGCAAGAGGTTTAGGGGCTAGGAGAGGAAGTTGACGAGAGAAAAGAGAGATGGAATAGAAGAGAGAGAAGCATACAAGGAGAGAGTTGTACCCTCTACCGTAGAGTTCAATAACACCTACCAAGCCTACAATTATATACCTATAAAATATAATTTAACACACTCCCTAGGCTTGGTAGTCACAAACCCACCCCACATGCAACACCTCTAAGCCTAGCACCCTCATACCCTGCAGCAGAGGTGACTGCAGGGAAGGAGGGCGCTAGGCCTTCTTGAGCTGCGGCGGGGCGGAGCCAGCTGGCGTGGCGAGCTGGGACCGACGCTGCGAGCTGGGACCGACGCGGTGAGCTGGGTCCGACGTAGCGAGCTGGGTCCGACGCGGCGAGCAGGGTCCGACACGACGAGCTGGGGAGGTGCGGCGAGCTGGAGTGCGGGCTTGCTGCCTGGTGCCTAAACCAGAGCGCGGCCCACTGTCGCCCGTGCGCTGACGCGACGACGGCGGCACGGTGGCACGACGAAGCCCTGAGGCATGGTGACGTGACGGGGCCGGCGCGGAGTGACGGGGTCGCGGCGTAACGGGGCCGGCGCGGAGGGACGGGGCCAGCACGGCGTGACGGGGCCAGCTCAGCGTAACGGGGCCAGCGCGGCGTGACGGGGCCAGCGCGGAGTGACGGGGCCAGCGCGGGGTGACGGGGCCAGCGCGGCGTGACAGGGCCAGCGCGGAGGGACGGGGCCGGCGCGGCGTGACGGGGCCAGCGCGGCATGACGGGGCCAGTGTGAAGTGACGGGGCCAGCGCGGCGTGACGGGGGGGAGAGTACGCTGCGGAAGCGTGAGGAGAAGGCCGGAGCGAAAGGGGCCTGCTATGATACCAAGTAAGAAGGCTAACTTGGCTAGGAAGGAAGGCGGCCATGGAATGGCGAGAGGTTTAGGAGCTAGGAGAGGAAGTTGACGAGAGAAAAGAGAGATGGAATAGAAGAGAGAGAGGCATACAAGGAAGGAGTTGTACCCTCTACCGTAGAGTCCAGTAACACCTACCAAGCCTATAATTATATACCTATAAAATGTAACTTACCATACAGTACCCTTGGGAACTAATAAAAAATCATGAAAAATTTGGGGTGAGTGGAATTTACCGAAGTGAGAATGAATAATCTAGAATGAGAGATACAAGGTGCTCTTGTGCTAAGGGGTTATACTCTTTAAGTGTACGCACCTATCTAGCGTATAAGACATATACCGTAATCTCACAGATGTATGTGCATATTTGCTTATAGGGATTAGGTTCAAAAAGCAGCACGCGCTTGTAATCGAATAAACAATATAAGCCCATGCGCTAATACGAAGGACTATATGGGAAAATAATTTAAACACACCAGAATGTAGCTGGGCTGATTTGGGTACCAATACAACTGTCTTCAAAAAAAGGACGCGCAGAAATATCGCGCAGAATATCTGACGAAAGTTTTGCCAGCACAACTAAGCTGGGAAGGCAGGTAATAGACCAATCATTGGCAGACAGTGATATGGAAACGCATGAATCTGGCGGGCGAGGAGCTTGGGAGGGTAGTGCCACGCGGCCCTGGCGGCGCTGCTATAGCTCGTGCAGGAGGAAGTACCGCAGCTGGTTGTGCTTCGCTCTGCCCTCCAGTCGAGGCTCCTGACATAGAAGAATCCTGGCCTTATTGCCAGCGTACAGGACCGGGGCAGAGCTAGGCCGCTCACCTAAGTCAGTGAGAAAGAAAGTCAGCCAGCGGAGCTCCTATGCCGCCATGGCACTGACG